ATTGTATAATGAAACTTTTTTTGTTCTACAAAAATAAACTGAAATAAAATAATGATTGATTTTAAACGAGTAACATTCACAACTTTACAGTTTGAATAATATGTGTAAGAATTTTCTTTCCTAATTATCAGATATATTTTTCACAGATGCTTATGTGTATTAAAATTTGCTATATGATAATCCTTATGAGTACAGTTCGGCGGTACCAAAAAAAAACTGGAACCGAGAACCGAACCGGAACCTTTAAATTATCAGATTGATATGAAAATTTTAAATCTATTTTGAGATTTTCATATCCATCTGATGATTTAACGGTTTCACTCCCACGTAATGTTTGTGAAATCGAATTGGAACCATTTTTTTCTCATTTTTAACAACTGAAGCCAAAACCACAGTTCCGGTTTCAATACTCTAACTTTATCAAAATTCTAACAAACTAATAATCATTAAGTTTATTCGTATGGTTTTTGTTCAATAAAATAGAAAAAATTGTAATCGATATATTATGAACATGAAAAAGGATGTAAGTGTGGATGTATGGTTTAAGCATTGCAGTCAACTAAACACATCCACACATCCTCAAGATAGTTATTTTCATCACGTACAAAAAATTTGAAAAGATATTTCAAAATGTCGATGAATACGCAGAACGAGTAATTGAATTAGAATGGAAAGATGAAAGTATCGAATCAGATATCGGAGACGGAGAAGAATGGTATTGTTTTCTAAAATATTGGTTTTGCATTTTTCTGAGAAGTTATTTTTTTATAAAATAAAATATTACAAGCTCTTTTCAAGTAACTCGTCAATACAGAGCGTCATAAAAGTGAAGAAGTGTTGCAAGCTTTGAGTTCTAACTTTTTAATGTCTTGAAACATTTATATTCAAACGTTCATTGGACAGATTCATCAAAGTGTCTCTATCTCGAGAATAGAAAGCGATAAAGACTTGGTTTTTCCATCGTTAGAAAGAAGACTGTTTATAGGCCTAGGCTGCCGAAAAAACAACTAAAAAAAAGTTTTTTTTTGACAAACTGACTATTTTCCCAACTTAGCTTCGTTAGAATTAGCCTGGAAAGCACCGGAAATTTTTTTAATGTTTACATCGATCTGTATCCTCAACTGTCCTCTTTCAAATGCTGAAAACCACATCTGTTTCCGCTAAAAAATTATAAACATTCTACCTTACTCATGTTCTTTTTAAAAAACGATAATAGTTAATATTTCAGCTGAGAGACAAACATAGTTTACAGATACTAAAGATATTAACTCAATAAGACAACTGCATATATCTCTTGTCTTATCTTATGTTGGTCAAGAATTATAAGGATTAATTAATTCATATGATCAAATCCTACATTCGAAATTAGTTGAATCATGAGAAAAATTTTAGATTTCATAGTATTAGAGACTTTGATTTTCTCCTATATCTCAATAAATCATCGAATATTTTTGTAAGTCTTTCGTCAATAATTATTCTAAATCTCATGAAATAATTTGAATCATAATTAGGAACTTCTATTTACGAACATCATTCACTGTTAACCTTAAGTTAAATTATCTTTGTTAAGAAATTTTCAACCATAAGAAACTAACAATTGCATACAATGTCATTTATCAAATAGTATCATTATAACAAAAATCTGCATATTTGTTAGACTAGACAAGAAAAAACATTCTTTTGTTTTGTCTCTAAACAAAATATGATATTTTGCTACCTAGTAATTCATGATAATATATATCATTCCTCCTGTTTTATTGACAAATGACAAAAAACATCAACTTTCAACCTTTATCAAATGTCTTTGCTATGTTCCTATTATGACGTAGAAACATCAATCACATACTTCATATAATTATTGAAGATGTAATTAACTCATCAAGATATTGATTGATTAACAGTAGTTTTACGTCATCGACAAAAACAAAAAAAAAAGATTCATTAATATTCGTTCGTTAATGATAGACAATAGTTTAAAATTCTTATGAAAGAAAAATATAAATATAAATTTAATCTAATCAATCTATTTTCTGTTTACAATACGATGAACTATTCGTCTGGAAATTAATTTTAACTAATTATTAATGTTTAGTTAATCAAGTTTTGACTATTGTCCAATAGATGCAGAATATATTTAGACAATTTTATGTTGATTTTGATTTATTATAATCACAGTGAAGAAGAGTTTTTTTTTTTCGTAAAAATGATTCATAAAGTGAAGTTGATTAGATTGTACTACCTATCTGATACATAATTATCTTTATTACACTAATGAATGAGATTCTATCGAATGTATGATTTAGCTTGTGAACTTCAATAGAATAGACCACATATTGATGATGTTCTTATTCATATAGAATAATGTATTGATAATATCGTTTATAATAATAAAATATTTTAAATTTGTATTACAAATAATATCAATAAAACGAAATATAAAATTGAGATCTTAAAAGATATAATCAATATTTCATTGTTGTTAGTTGGATGATAATGAATAACACGTAGCAGATTATGGAGTAATGAAGACAATCATCTTAAACAATGGGGGCGTCTCAACTAAAATCATATACGTCATACCATATGGTTCCTCATTACATTTATCTTTAACTGGTTACAGTTAATATTCAATTATCGGCGTAATTTTTCTATGAATGTATAGTGGATATGGGTGTAGAGAAGACGTATTAGCCAACCCACACGCTCAAATATGGAAAATATGTAACAAGAAAACATACTATTAAGTACTAATTTTTTTTGCTTCATGATTGATATTGCTAATATTTCTTTCAAAGTTGATCATTCAATTAATAAAATATCTTATTAAAATTAGTTTGAAGCGAATTTTTATTAGTTAAAACAGATTCCAGTCTGATATAATTTTTTTAAATAATATAGTTTCTTATCATATGATGATACGAAGTTTAAAAACCTCAATAATAATCATTGATAGACAATTGATTCACTTACATAAAATGTAAATAGATATTTTATTATTACTAACTAAATACTATAGTGTAATCTTAATCTCTTTTGACTAAGAATTTTGCCTGTTGACCTCAATAAACAGATGTTAGCTAAAATCGACATATGTACAAATAATCGATTTTTCAGATTTGATCAAACAAATCTTTCATAAATTGATTAGATCTCTTAAGGTGTAATGTAAAATAGATAGAGATTATAATTTTTATCTGAATCTTCAGAAATTGTTTTTCAATGGAATATTTTATATAGAATAACAAATTTGTTTTTTTTTTAATGATTTCAATAATAGTACTAGATACTATTAAATAAATGTATGTTTATGTGTCATATGCACAATAGTTTATTTATTTTTTATTCAAACATACAAAAAAAATTTATCGCATGAGAAAATGTTCACATCATATGGTTTCATCATTAAGTCAAATATTCATATAATATAATATGTATTTTAAGAATAATGAAAAGAATATTCAATTTTCAAATGATGTTTTCCTAGAGTAAAAACAACATTACACCATCATATAGACAAGAGAAAAGAAACACCCTTTTATGTTCAATTAAACAGCAGTCGATGATAGTAATTCAATTTCATTTACTAATTGTTCATTCTAAATATAAAAAACAAAAAAAACAAAACAAACAAAGAATATATTCATATTTTCAATCGATAATATACACATACACGTAAACAATATTTCATAAAATCATCTAAATTAATACTTCCAGAATGATGACGATCAAGTTTTTCAAATAAAATAGTTGAATGTTTTTGAATTGTTTCGTCAGTAACTGGTTGATGAACAAAAATATTTGGTCCAAGAAGATCATATAATGAACGAACAATTGTTTCAAGTGTCTTAATAAAGAATAAATCAAATAAGAAATATAAACGAATATGATAAAATATATCATACTTGTTTTGTTAATTTACCATCATCATAAATATCATAGAAACGAAAGATCCAATGAAGTTTTTCCTTGATACTACCACGCACCAAAATTGATAACGTTTGGATATAATCCTATGTCAAGGAAAAAGAGCCTGATGATGTTTGTTGTTCTTTTATTAAGAAAAGATGTATTTAGATATATTAGACTCGATAGGATCCTTCGGATAATATTTCATGACTGAATCGTCTCATTTAATATCAAATAACTTCATCATATTATCTTCATAATCCTGATCAAAAATGATATTCTCAAACTTTTTTTTTCTTTCTTTGAATAATAATCTAGAATTAATTGATATTATTTTAATCTTTCATATATTTATTCTTAAATCAAGACTCAAAATAAACAAATAAGAAAGAAAAAGACTAAAATATTTTTCTTTCTCGTTCTTTATATGTTAATTCTTCTTATATTTATATATGAGTATAAATTACTTCAAATGTAAAATACATCCGTTTCCGTCTATCTAAAACACGAAATAAAAAACTTGTATAATTTTGACAATTGCCATGAGGAAAAAAATGTGAATAAATTGTTTGAAATTCTCGTTCAGTGACAGCACCATTTGGACATTCCTATAAAAAAACAAAACAAAACAAAAAAAAAATTACGTAATTTTTTAATATTATAAAAATTATATAAAAAAAATTTTTTTTCATACTTGTTTAAAACCTTTATAAAGTAATCGTATTTCTGATTTACTAAATTTTGTTATTCGTACAATTTCTTCTAAACTTTTTGGTACTTTACGTATTTCCACGGGTAATATCGTTGAATCGTCAGCAGCATCTTCTATTGTAAATAAATATCAACAACATTAGCATATTACCAACTTATGTCAACATCATTTTAACATTCTCTATTTCTTCAATATAAGCAATCTCATTATTGTTTTATGATGTCTTACTACGTATATAAAAAAGTACAAAAAGAAAAAATACGAAAGAAAGAAACTTGTTTCGACATATATATCTCATTATTCTTAGTCTCTACACTATTCTCTCGATAAACAACAGATGTTCCATAGTTTTTCTGTTATTATACAAAAGACAAGCAATATATTGTCAGCAGATAGAAAAAAAAGAAAATGCTCGTAGTCTTCTAAATAAACCATATGGAACCATCTTTCCAATTTATTATCTACTTGACACTAGGATACTTATTTCAAGATATTACTAATGTGTCAATTATCAAATCAACACACTCAGCATGGGGTCGAATCAGGTGTCAGTTTAATCACTTACGCTCAAATGATTCCATTGACATATTTTGTTTTGATAAATCGAATGATAATTGACGGATTGAATTTGCTTAAGGGTTTTTGTTTTTATATTTTTGTTAGACTTTTGCTTGTTTCATTGAAGATTGTTACATGTTAATGTATGTAAGTAGATGTAATAATTGATGAAATTTGTTAAATAATATACAAAAGACGAAAACGTATTGAAAAATTTGGTTTTGTTTTTTTTATTTGTAATAGGAACCTGTTTTGCTCTATGCTAGTATGTATATGCAGTTAAATAGATTGCTATGCTGCTTGATGATGGCGCCGGGTTTTTTTTTATTGTTTGATTTATCTTCTTCTGACACCAAGAAAGCAATACACGATATGGAACAGAGAATAGAAAGAAATATAGAAAAAAAAGAGGAGAAAAAATAATAATCTTTGTCTCTCATCGTATTAGCATAGCAGATGCAAACGCCAAAGAGTATACCCTAAGTATATACGAGATTCTCAAACAAAGAATGGGAAATAAGAGAAAATAAGAACAAAAGTCAAGTCTCTACTCTTATTAGACACATTGTCTCATACATCCATCTTCATCATGATTAATTAAATATGACTTATTAGAATTTCACATTTTATTTTATTTTCTACACTAAATAAATATTCTTATCTTTTAAATATTGTCGATATTTCATATCAATCAGATGATATACTTGTTTAATAATCTCGGGAGAGAAATAAATTAAGCCAAACGTTCCATATATTGTATGATAAATAAAAGATAAATCGAATGTCTTATATAAAACTGAATAAATTATCATTATCGATTATAATTCTCTTATGAAAAGCATGAAAGATTAGAGAAAAAAAAAATATGAGACGTGCTTTCTTTTATATCATGATAATAAGTTATATGTGCATCATTTGTTAAATTTGTAAGAAAAATTTATTTTATAGATAAAGTTAAAACAAATTTATCAAGTTAATTTACGTTTTATTTATATTTTTATTAAGAATTAAGAAAAAAAAGAAAGAAATAAAATAAATTTAAACTTGAGGGTTATTTTTGAAAAGGTATTCAGCCTTAAAAAAAGAAAAGAATAAAAAATACAAAAATTTATATCGATAAAAATAAAAAAATACGAACCACAAAATCAACTGGATCATCAGGTCGTACTTGACAACATTCTAAACAAGAATAAAATTATTTTTTAATTTTTGAATATTAAATCACTAATACCAATTAATGCTTTTGTTAATGTTGGCATAACATGTGCCATAAGATAATTTCTTAATGGTGTTGATTGTGCATCGAGCATTTCAAATTCTTCACGTTTTATTTGTTCTAATTTTGTTGTCCAATCTTTTTGTTTTTTCATTCGATCATTAGCTGCTTCTTGTTCATCTCTTTCACGTTCTTCACGTTCTTCACGTTCACGTTTTTCTTTTTCATTTAATTCTTTACGTTTTGCATATTCTTGTTCTTCAGGTGTTGGTCCATAATTATGAGGTTCTTTAACACGTTGCATTATTTTTTCAACTATATTACGATGATTTATACTTCGATCATCATCAATTTCTATGAAAGAAGAAAAAAAAACATTAGGATAGGAGAACATATTTGTTGATATTAGTATTATTGATCGAAAGAAAATAATTGAAATTTTATCAGATTCAATTGTCTTTGATTGGTGTTTTTGTTATTCATTAGTAGAACAATTTTTATCTCTGATAATCAATAAAAATGAATTTATATTTCGATCAATAAACTTCTAGAACATTTAAGACAATATCTGACAAAAGTCATATTAACCAAGAATGATAACTTCATTGATTTTTCTTTTTTTTGGAAACATCTACCATTCGAACTTCTATCATGAACTGATATACAGGATTTTAACTATCGGATCTGAAGTATATAAAATTTCTCTAATCAGAGAAACAGCTGAACTGATATTTATCTTTTGAGTTCATATTAAATCTACAAGAACGCTTCAATGTATCGAAATCCCATTATATAGTCTTTCTGGAAGTACCTAAATGATTCAACTCCAAAGACTCATGCAGACTGTATATCCAGACGGACATAAGGTGAAAAAACAAACGAATATCGACATCTTATCCATCTAGATAGTGATAAATATACTTCAAGATATGCTCTATCTGATGACATTAAAATTTTTGTTACGAATTTTAAGTAGAATAGAAAAGTTGCTATTCAAAAATTAGTCTGGAATCACTGGTATCGGTGAGAAAATTATTTTTTAAACAAACTGATAGGCATCCTCCTAACTTCCAGCAGATATTCTGAATCTGCACGTCGTCTAGTATCTATTATCGAAGAAATCTTTTAGTTTGAACATGCGACTTTTGAAAAGAAAATAAAAATTTTTCTATATTGATTATCCAAATAGCTAAGTTTAGTAAAGTGAGCGCGCCATTCTTAGTCATGATCAAAATCCTCTCAAACTTTGCCAAAATGTTCTTCTCTCTGTTCAGTATCATTCCTATCAGCACAAACATTCCTGGATCGTACAGTAAGCCTTCCAAAAACCTTGGTTTTTCAAGTATTTTACAATTTTTTGCAGTTCAGAAAGGTTCGTAGTGAACAAAAATATCATATTCGAAATGAGCACGTGAAATGTGTCATACAAAACATTTTCTCGAAAAAATGTGGGCAAGGGTCGCTCTCAGGTAGAGCCCGTCGGGTTGATCCCGGACCCAGTCGGGTTCAGATCCGAGTTTGACTTCATGGGTGTTACTCTGAAAAAATAAGAGCCAATTATAAGTTTATTCTTATAAGATCATGATCGAGATTGCTTCAGAACTGTTGAAGGTGTGTTCCTGGAGGATTATCAGGTGCGAATTAAATAAATTTCATTAAGTATCAAGAGTACAATTCGAGAACCGGGTCAGGATCCAAAACTGGATTTACCCTCAGATGTTTTTCGTCGAAAAAATACTTTATTTTCTTAAAAGGAATTTTCTGAGTAACACAAACTTGTTTCCAAGCACGAAAATCACATGTCCACCTGTCATGCAAAAAATGCACACTGTACCATGGGGACGAACTCTTTTAGATCAATGTGCCCTTGAAGGTTCAAACGATTGATTCTCTCTCGGAGGTAAAAGCGTTTTTTTTAAAGACTTCCAAAACTTCAATCTATTGAATACTCAATTAACTCTGAAGATAATTTTCACACACACACACAAGAATTATAAATAAAGTTAATCAACAAAAACAGTTAAGATTGTTAGTTCTAAAAATTTAAGAATTAATTATTCTTACTAATTGTTTCGCCTGGTCGATCAACATCTTCGAAAAATTTAGCTGGATGTGAATCATCACCAAGTTCATTATAAATTTTTAAACGACGTTTAAATTCTAATTCAGTATTATGTGTACCAGCAACGACTTTTTCTGGTAAATGCATAATACGTTGACGAAGATGTTCATTACTTGCATCGAGTATAAAAACATGTTCTATAAAAATTCATAGAAAATTCGATTTAATTTTTGAAAACAAAAAAATATCTGAACAAACCAGGAATAATAAGTTCATTTACTGGTGGTTTTTTATCTTCAGCATCTTCTTCTTCTATATATTTCAATGAAAGAAACCAAAAAAATTCTAATAAAATTTTGTCGAAAATTTTTTACCTCCTTCACCAGATGCTTAAAAGAAGAAAAAAAACAAAAGAAATAAATATATAAAAGTAAAATTGTAGAATATTTCTATTTTTACCTCCAAATAAATTTTGTGCTTGATCTGCTGTTTTTGGATAACCATCAAGTACATAACCTTGATTTTGACATGATGGTGACATAAGTTTTATTTTAAAAAGTTGTGTTAAAAGTTCATCATCCAAACGTGCTGAAAAAAGAAAAGAAAATTATTCTAATATTAAAAAACAAAATGAATTCTTTTTGTCTTTTTATACCATCTTTTGAATCACGTCGAACTTCTTCAAGTTTTTCTAAAATACTTCGTGCTTCTTCAATACGTTCTGCTAATGTTTCATCTGTATCTTGCTCATCAGCTTCTTCTTCATTTTGTTCACTTTCACCATCACGTTTAACTAATTGTTCCTAAAGAATATTTTTCGCAAAAATAAAAAGTTTTTTTTTTCTTTCTTTTTGTCTTTTACAAGTTCATTTTTTGTATCTTCAATAACATCTTTTATTTGAAGATGATGTAATTTATATTCTTGTGCTAATTGTTTTGCAATTGTCGTTTTTCCTGATGCTGGTGGACCAAGAATACAAATTTTAATTGGCTAAAAATACAAAAAAAATATCATTCAATTTGATATTATATCAATTTTATTTAAATTACTGTTAATTTTCGTTGAGTACGATATTCATCAACAATCTTTTGAATATTTTCTGTAATACCATTTTCACAATGCCATTTTATATTCATTTGTTCACGAATAAAAATTGGTTCAAATTGCATATTGGCAAGTAACATATCATAGTCAGCTTGCTAATAAAACAATATTAAAGTTTTATAAATAAAAAAACAAAACACTTTTTTTTTAGATAATTATAGGTGTGCATTATTAATACTTTAGGCATACTAAAAGTTCTGGCTACGGGGTTTAAAAGATCTTTCCGGATAAGGAAACCTATTGAGAAATGAAAAACTGAATATACTATGTTGTAGAGCTTTTTCAAGTGCATTGAATGGTATATAACAAATCCTGTTTTCATAAGACCTTAAAGGAACTAGAGTCAATTTACTGATAGTCCACATTCAAGCATGATAAGTTTCTGAATATTGTTGTCCTTAGTATTTGTAAAATATTTTTTCTCACATATGATTTTGTAGAGTTTTTGATGGGCTACAACCTCATATATGTAGCATCTCTGGTTATCTTGTGGGTGTGTAGTTGTCTATCAATAAATTGACTCTAGTTCCTTCAAGATCTTATGAAAACAGGGTTTGTTATATACCATTCGACGTGTCTGGAAAAACTCTACAACATGCTATATTTCGTTTTCCATTTCTCATTAAGTCTTCTTATCCGGAAAGAT